TCTTCACTAGTTTTCACTTAAATCAAACTAAACTACGCATTACCTAATAAGTTGTTCTATTGCAATTAATTGGAAGGTGAAACTGGTCGAAACTATATTGTATATGTTGCTAAGTTACGTATCTACATAGTTAATGTGAAGGGAAAATACCTATTTATTTTCTTCTACGTCACATATATTGAACTTTTTGATTGATTTCGGTATGATACTGAGTTGAATGGAGAGATGGATACATATCAAGAACAATTCCTCAAACGCCGGACTTGACTCTTTTCAAGTGGTCTAGGTTTACGGACATTGGATATCAACAGCTCAACAAGGATTGAAAAATCGGACGGAAAAGGAATAATCTTTCACCTTCGAATCTTTAATTCAATCCGTACGGGCTTTGCCACGTGTTGCAAGAAGGTGCGTTATGAGCCATTTTTTCTGGATGCAGATGTATATATAGACCCTAAGGCCTCGTTTGGCACACCGTATAAGACACCGGATAGGACTAATAATACGGTGCCAGTTGTTTGGTGCTCCTACTGGATAAATAGTCACCGTACTAATAATCTGGCCCCACCTAAATAATACGGTGGACACCCGCTAACTTGTCCACCCCAAAACGTCGGTATAATTAGTCGGCTTCATGAAATTACGCTTGTTCCTTCTCTGTTCCCTCTCTGGCGAATCTGCTTCTGCGAAACCTACAAATTGTGAACACATCTTGTTGCTATTAATGCTCAGTCGTCGTGTGGTCGTCTTCTTCCTTTTCTTCTTGGATTAATTTCTATTCTGTTTGCTATTTGGGTTTTCTGGGTTTTCTCCATCACCAAGAACTAGGGTCTTTTTACTATAGACACCAATTTCATTACGAAGCTTTTACTCCTTTTTTCCATGTCCATCTGAGCCTTTTGTTCTTCTGAGTTGAGGGTTTTAATCACAGTGTAAATCTTCATCAGATTTGATCTTAATTTTCTTTTTATTTTACCATTGTGGAGCTTTTAAGTAGTGGTATGAGAAATTAGGAGGTTGGGTTTACAGGATTGGAAGGTTCATCAACATGGTTTACTGCAGGTGGGAAAGACGACGAAGAAAGGAAGACGACCTGCGTTTTTTTTTTTTTTTATCTTCTTTCTTTTTTTTTGTTCGTGCACACATTATTCTTTTTTTTTTTAAATTCTTTTTTAGTATTCTCCTTTTTTTTTCATTTTAACACCAATTATTTTGTTAAAAATTATTAAAAAAATTTATTATTGTTCGATGCACATATTAATCCGACACTGCACCAAACGCCTGACTAATTTAGTCAGTACTATCCGACGACTATTTATCCTATCCGACTGAAATAGTCAGTACAATCCGAGGTACCAAACGAGGCCTAAGTTTCTTTTCCGCCAAGCGAAAGTAGTAAGTTTGATGCATGTTCATGCTGTTTGACGATGCTAACTTCCAACGACAACAAGAATTTCTTAATACTACTTTCTGACTTTTTCGTTTGTTTTGATTCAAGATAAGGAAAGAAAACCCACGACTTGTTGAGATTCCATGATTAGTACGATGCAAATGATACGGACCGATTAATCTCATCGATTAATACGCATTTAACGATCAAAATCTCTTTTCCTTCTTCTCTTTCCCTTAACTTTTCTCTTTATCCCTCGCTTCAAACCTCTCAACCTTGAACCACTAGTCACCTAAATTCCAAATCAAGTTCAACCTCACCTCAAAATCAGCCCCAACATTGCCACACAAGACACCCAACCCACAACCCCCAATTGCAAGCTCTCACTTTACCCTCTCCAAAATGAGCCCTAGCACCGTCACATCCCTCAATTGTTGGTCTTTCGACCTTAAATTCTCAATTGATATTAACAAAACAACAAAGAGATGGGCGTGTAAAACAATGTCTTTTGGTTGCAAAGATCTTTTTCATAACCGTAGAGGAATTATAGAGAGAGAAACAAAGACCTACAATTCAATTTGGGGTTTGTCAATAGCGGTGGGTGCGGTGGTGGGGGAGAAAGAAGTTGATGGGGAAGAGAGGAAGGGGAAGACATTTTGGCCGTCGGATTTCTATCAACGGATGAGCCCAATTGGTGCCGAGGATTCCCAGCCCAATTGGTGCCGAGGATTCCCATAAAACTGATTCGAAGAGGATCTAAAATGAAATTATTTTTTATTGAAAAATTAAATGGAATTAAATAATAAAGCCATAGGTGCCACCAGAGTCCAGTACATAACTGAAGTCATGATCTTCGTATAAATACATTTAAATGCAAAAACACAGCAAAAATTAAAGCCTAGCGTGACAGGTGGGGCACTTATCCTTAATTGATAAGGGCATTATTTCAGAACCTATTGTTTATTTTATAAGCCCAAAAACCCCCTTCTAATTGTATTTATATAAGTTTTTTTTACTGCAATTTTATATTACTATTTTTATTTCGGTGATAGAAAAATAGAGTTCATTAGTTTCAAATTTTATTGGGTGCTTTTAGTCACACCAAACAAATAAGATAATAATTTCATCCACCGTGAGGGAACGCACATGTCGCACCAGTGCCGACATAATTGGAACTATTCAATTTCTTATTTTTCATTTGAAAATTATGCGTACAACAAAAAACATTTGAATCGAAAATCGTTTATTATGTGAGTACCAAATAACAAATTCATAATGAACCACTTATTTATTTGATACGTTTGAATGACTAAATAATTTTCACTTTGATTTATTTGTATGGATGATGTTCAAATAAGATTAAAAATTTGAACGATTTCAATTATAAAATTAGGGTTAATCTCAGTTTATTACTCTCAAGTTTCGTGGGTTTCAACATTTGGTACATGAAGTTTTTTTCGTTACATAGTCATACCTAAAATGTTAATTTTGGGATAGTCTCATACATTTGTTAAGTTTTCCGTCAGAACCTCCGTTAACTGATGATGTGGCGCCCATATAGACAATGACTTGGTGCCACATGTCAATTTGGACTGACTTAAATATTAAAAAATTAAAAAATTAAAGAATTAAAAATTTTAAAAATTAATTTTGTTTCCGTCTTCTTCCTTTCTTCCTCTATCTCTCTCCCTCTTATGTGAGAAAACCCAACAACCACAACCCAACCCCGTGAGCCGCTAGAAATGGGTCCCAATCGGAGACCAAGAGAGAATGAAAGCCACCGCCGATCTCGATTTTCTATGAGCAACATCATAACAATAAAACCCTTATTTTCTTTTTGGCTTATGATTTTCCCAGCAACCAAACACCAACCCAGCCTTCTTTATCTTCAAGCAAACACCAACCCCTATTCTACAATGGTGTAGCCACTCACAAGGCTAAGGTGGGCTATAGCCCAGGGAGGTTTTTTGTAAGGGTAGTGTTATCCATGCACTCATTTTTACTTCTTACACACTTCTCTTAATTGTCGGTTGTTCGGATCGAACGAATTGAAAATGATCACTGACAAAATATTAATAAGGATGTGTTGGAAGTAAAAATGGGTTTGTAAATAGATCTATTCTTTTGTAAACTCATGCTTATAGCCTACTCAATTTCAATACATATTATTATTTAATGTATATTTAGTAGAGGAGAGGTAGTAAATAATAGTTTTATGCTAAAAATGATAAATTAGCTCTATCTCCAGTCCCCCTTTATTCTATTCTTTAAAGGAAAAGACCATTTACCCTATGTAGTTTAGCCTCTATGCTTCTTACTCAAGAAAAGATTAATAAGTTCTTTAATACACAATTAAATCCCTATATCTGCAATTCCTGACTTTCCGTTGCACTTTTTCAATGGATGTCACATTTGGTACGTTCTTAATCTCTTTATTTACTTATTCTTGATTGAATTAGTAGGTTAATTATTTATATGGTCCTTGAATTTATCGGTTATGGTTATGATTTTGAGAATAGTTTATATTATATTGTTGTTCTTTTATATTGATTATTATATATTTTATATAAGCAAAAAAAATAATCATATGATTTTATGGTACTATTTTCAACTAGCCCACCCAAGAAAAAAATCCTAGCTCCGCCCTTGCTCTTCTAGCAGTCTTCCTCTGTTCCACATATCTCTCAGCCTCAGCATCAACACCTTTCTTCTGCTGCAACCTGGTCCTCTTCATCAACGGGAACCGGTTACTACTCGTCCCGACCCGACACCGCCTTGCTTGAAAACCTAAAAATCGTCCCTTCTCGCTGCTCCTCGAAGCCGTTGATCTCCTATGGAAGCAGGTGAGACATAAGTGCCGACGCGACCGATGGGTTGTTGGGAACTAGGCGGGGAGGCTCCGCATTGTGGTCGGTAGCGGGATTGGGATTGGCGGGACTCTCATTTTTCTCTCTTAGCCTCCAATTGGAAACCCATTTCTGGCGGCTCACGGGGTTGGGTTGTGGGTAAAGATTGGTGGTTGCTGGGTTTTCTCACGTGGTACCAAGTCATTATCCATGTGGGCACCACGTCATCAGTTAACAGAGGTTTTGACGAAAACTTAACGGATGTATGAGACTGTCCCAAAATTAACACTTTAGGTATGATTCTTAGACGAAAAAAACTTCATGTAACAAATGTTGAAAACCACTAAACTTGAGAGTAGTAAACTGAGATTAACCCATAAAATTAATATAAGTTATCACGAGAGGTGGGACGTGCATCCTCTTGAATGCATCATATTTATTGGTATGCCTCTTGAAACCCAAATCATGTTTCACTTTATTTATATCTTGAAACTGAAAACAAAAACAGTTAGAGAAGGAGAATACATTTTGTCGTTAAGAGAGTTTGAAGGCCCACTCCTAGTTTGTAATTTCCGGTGCAACCCAAGCCAGAAGGCAGCTCCATCCAAGCTGCAGCCTTATGGGCCTGCTCATAGTTTGGGCCCACGAAGACGAATTTTCAAGTTTCAACAGAATGTAAAGACTGGAAAAAAAAAACAGAAAGAAAAGACCAAAACTTGACTTATGATTTCTTGACTCACTGACTTTTCTTTTTCCGCGTTCAAATTTGAAAGTTAAAAAGTTGGAATCCAAAAGAAACAAAAAAAGCAGAAGAGCTTGGTGGCTGTCAGGCAGAGGCGGTGTCAAATGGCCCCTCCATAGCTTTCACTCACCATTTTCAGGCGGTCACTCGACCTTTTCCATATCCTTATCTCTCTCTCCCTCTCCTGTGTTTGTGGGTGTGAGAACTCCGCAGGGCTTTCTTTTTTCTTGTTTTTATTCCTTTCTCTCGGAGAATTACAAGGAAGGAAAGAAAGAGATGGAGTCTGAGAATATTGAAGCTAATCAAGCAAACAAAGAAGGGATTTCTCTGTACGGTGGCAAGTATGTACAGTACAACATTCTGGGTAATCTCTTTGAAGTCTCCGCCAAATATGCCCCTCCTATTCATCCAGTCGGTCGCGGTGCATACGGCATCGTCTGGTACCTATCTCTCTCTCTCCACTTTTTTTGGTTTCTGTTTTGACTTTGGTTTTTGGCTGAGAACTGGTATCTGTTTGAATTCTGGGAAAAGCAGGGTTGAACTTTTAAGCTTGGATTTGGAAAGTTTGGTTCCAAAATTGAACTGGGTAGGCTTTAGCTTTGTGGGATTTTGCCTTTCTTGGGTCCCAAAAGGATAGATTTTGGATTCAAATTCAATGACCCAGTATTCGATTTTTTTCGATCGTTTTGATTTCGGTTGCTTTTGTATTTGAACTGGACATAGTGTTACTTTAGTTTGATAAATTTGAGAGATTTTATTGTGAATATATGTTAATTTGTATCTTGATTTTTACCCAATGAGAGCACTCAGCGTAGAGGTGGTTAATGTTTCCCTTATGGCAGCTGTGCAACAAACTCTGAGACAAAAGAAGAGGTTGCAATCAAGAAATTGGGAATGCATTTGACAATAGGATCGATGCGAAGAGGACGCTTCGAGAGATAAAGCTCCTTTGTCATATGGATCATGACAATGTAAAACCTCATCTGCTGTTCCTTCCTTTTGGAAAGTTGGAATTACCCAAATGGAGCTGAATGATAAATATTACCCAAATAAGAAATAATTGGGTTGTTGTTTTGCAGGTTATCAAAATTAAGGACATCATAAAGCCGGCAGATAGGGAAAAGTTCAATGATGTTTACTTTGTATATGAATTGATGGATACTGACTTGAATCAGATAATACACTCCAGCCAGGCTTTGACAGATGATCACTGTCAGGTGAGTTGAGCATTGTCATATTGTGATAATTGTTTTGAAGGAATGTCGATTAATCAAAATTTCAATGGTAAAACTATTAGGTTTATGATGTCGATGAATCAAGCACTTTGTTGTTCAAAAACAGCTACTAATCTCTTGAATAAGGTGAATTTCGCTGTTAATTATGATCGGTATCTTTACAATTCGACATGTACGTTTGCTTGAATAAGGTAAGAGGCCATGTACAGCACTGTGTCACATGCCTTTTAATATGACCTAAAAGTCTGATATGCAAATTGGTACCTGGTAAGCCAGACATAAACATTGGACACGGGCAGGCAGAATGAATATTTGATCTGTATTTCATTTTTTTGCCGCAATTCTGAAATTTCGTGCTTCTGTTTGGTTATCTTTCCATCTCGCTCTCTCGTGATGATATGTAGATTATGTATTGGTCATGTGGTATTTGCAACATGTATATATATATACTCAAAAGTATAGTAAATTACCTAATAAGTTCTGTTGAAATCAAAGTTTAGATCACTTAAATTTTAAGCAGCATATAATGTTTCTTGCAGTATTTCCTGTATCAATTACTGCGGGGATTGAAGTACATACACTCTGCAAATGTTTTGCACCGCGACCTGAAACCGAGTAACCTGCTTCTCAATGCAAATTGTGACCTTAAGATTTGTGACTTTGGGCTTGCAAGAACTACATCAGAGACAGATTTCATGACAGAATATGTTGTAACTCGTTGGTATCGAGCCCCAGAGTTACTACTCAACTGTTCAGAATACACTGCAGCAATTGATATTTGGTCAGTAGGGTGCATCTTCATGGAAATTCTTAAGAGGGAACCACTGTTTCCCGGTAAAGACTATGTTCAGCAGTTGAGTCTCATAACTGAGGTATACGCACTTTCTATCATATTCTCTAGGCACTCTTGAACTTGATAGATGTGATTCAGCTTTAGCAGAGTATATTGTTTATTATTGACATTCTTTAGAAGGGATGTCAGAACTAGTTACAGAATTTGGAAGTTTATGCCGTTAATTTTATAGTTTTGATGTTTCAAATTCTTGATTGTTCAAATACAGCTGCTAGGTTCACCAGATGATTCAGATCTTGGCTTTTTAAGAAGTGATAATGCTAGGAAGTATGTCAAGCAGCTCCCACATTTCCCGAAGCAACCCTTTGCCGAGAAATTCCCAAATGTCTGGCCACTGGCAATTGATCTTGCAGAAAGAATGCTAGTTTTTGATCCAAGCAAACGTATTACTGGTAAGCCTCGTAGCATTAAATAACGCTCAGTCCTCAATTTTCTCATTCATTTTCACAGTACTAAACATTTATCTTTTTGGTTCACTATGTACGAAAAGTGGAGGAAGCACTGAACCATCCATTTTTATCAAGTCTTCACGAGATAAATGAGGAGCCTGTTTGCCCATCTCCGTTCGTCTTTGACTTTGAGCAGGCATCCCTGGATGAAGAAGATATAAAGGAGCTTATATGGAGGGAGTCTCTACACTTCAATCCAGACAACATGTTGGGATAATTTTGTCGGCCGCGACCTGTATTCTCTTTCTGTTGTGTTTTCCACCGACCGGCATCTCATTTGAAGGATGCTTTTGGTTACGGAAGGTTGGTAATGTATCTCATTTGTGAGGAGATTCTATATAAGAAGATTAACTAGGGGAGACGGGGGTTCTCCTTTGTGTTGAGAGGATGAAACGGCGGTTTCATAACGAGAGTGATATGGTAATGTGAAGCTTCTGGATTGATTCAATCTGAGAGTCTAGTAAGAGCTGAGGGTTCTCCCGGCCTTCTTTGGATTTGACGTGGTTTGTATATAAAAGTAAGAATATAGCGGTCTTTATACTTTTTTGGATTGGACTTTCTTGTGAACCTTTTTGAGTAAATTAGCATTCACTTAGTATGCATAAATATGTGACAATTGACAAAGCTAGCGGCTATATGGTCCCTTTGGAATGATTTGCATACAACTAGAACATTGTAGCGGTGAAACTTAGCTCAAAAATGGATAACTCTGTAAATACGGTGACATTCTTCGAATAGGAATCGATTTTCCGAAAAATCTTGGCTTTCGTGCTTTGGTGGGTTTTCGAGATCCTTTCAAGGACCTATGTTGTGTTGAAGGGATATTTTATATGATCCAATTGGTTGTGTAAAGTCCACAGTAGCAACATAACTGGGGAAAGTATATATAAAAGACAGTTTTTCTATCAAATTAGCATTTTCATTAGTATTATTAGTTATTGATCTTGCTTAGTGGGTCTTTTCTTCCGTGATGAACTGTTGGCACCAGTCCTACATTTTGTCTCTGTGGACTGAAGAGAAAGGGGGTGCAACAGGAAGAGGATTGTAACACAAAAGAAGCAAGGGGTCATCTTCTGTCAAATATACAACATGGATTCTGGCAATGCAATGTAGTTGAACTCTCACGTCGATCCAAATGGATTATTCTTTCCACAAAGGTAAATCTTTGCCTGCTAGATAAGTGAGTAAATATAAATGGTAGAGCTCAGGACCAGGTTAATATTTTATTTTTATTTTTTTGCTGTTTTGTGTTAATATAAGTCATTATAAGTTTTTCTATTATGTCTGGCTAATTAGCAATTGTTTACATTTATTTTTGGAGAAGTCATTACATTTACACGGATTCCAAGTGATTATTCAAGTGGACATTATATTTTGGCCCAAAAACCCAAGAAAAATTGGAAACCGCCAAGAGACTATGTTTCCAGAAAGAAAAAGATATTCCCTTTACGATTTGGAAATCAATTAGAATTAGGGTAGGATTAAGAAACTGGCTCGGTACTATAAATATGCGGTTCCGCCTCACGTTTTGTTTCACCAAACTCTCTCTAAATCTCTTGTTGTATGCAATTATATAGCCCTATACACCTAGCTCTCTCTTCTCCCATGGATCCCAAGTTTGCACTCCGTTTCTTCTCGTTCTTCTTCTCACTTCACCTCTCTCTGTTACCAACACCATGCAAGCTGATGCCGTCCAACCCTACCGAGAAACGAACCAACGCGAACCATCCGAGATAATCAACGGCGGTTTGGTATCAGTCATCCTCTCCGACAAAGGGTATCATGCCATGTCACTTACCCTAGACATCCTTCTTGAGGCTATAAACCCTAACAGCACTGTTACCCTCTTTTGCCCACAAGACAAAGCTTTCTTCAACTCCAAGTACCCACAGCCCCCATTGACACTCCTTAAGTACCATGCTGTTCCCTTCAAGGTGGACAAAGCTTCCATGGAGGTCTCCTTCCGTCACGGTTCCAAGGTCGACACTCTCCTGCCCGGTCATCCTCTCGTCGTTACTTCCCTACCGGCTGGCACGTATGGATATGCTTCTCTTAACCTAGTCAAAGTCACTGAATGGGATCTCTATAACAATGGACGGCTGATTGTTCACGGGGTTGAAGACCTGTTTGATCCGGCTTTTCAAACCCTAAGGTATCCAGAGTACGACGTGGTTGTGAAAGATGTTGTTAGTTCTGGTGGAGTTTCTTGGCTCAAGGAGGCAACAGAGAATTGGTTTCTTGTACTAGCTCTAGCGGCTGCTTCCACTTGTGCGCTCGTTCTTGTATTTTTCTTTTGTGCAAAGCCTTCGAAGATGGATGATTTTCACTATTATCCTTTGTACTATTAGGTTCTTGGTCATGTATCATATCATATGAGGCTAATTAATAAAGGTTTTTGAACTATTCTTATTATTATTATTATTTTTTTTTTTTAAATCAAGCGATAACGGTAGTAAGTTAAATTTTAGATTAACCACCAACGAAGTTCGAAACCACGCCGTCATGCAAGGATACAACATCTTTTCACCATTGTGCTTTGAAGTTTATTGTATTTTTTTTAAAACTTCAACGGTACGAAGAAAATTTTATTAATAAGGAAAAAGTGTTGTATTAACTAGATGGGTTTCTTTATTTTGGCATGCATATAAAGGTCACTAGCTAATTGGAGCTTAACAAATAAAGAAATTTACAATTATTAAACTGGTTACAAACTTTTAATAACAAATAAAACTGAAACGTGGACATTTAACAGATAATAAAGGGTACCACACCATGATTTATATATACATACGGCTAAAAAAGTCTCACTTCGTTTTCCAATCACGGAGAAAATGTCAAAATATACTCTTTTATCCCCTCTAAAACCTCTAATTAAAGTATGATATCGTTCATTGTAGAAATATTTCATATTAACTATATTTTTTAGAAAAGAAAAGTTTAAATATCATACCTAACTCCCACTAATATTGATGCCTTTTGTAATAAAACTTCGTCACACATGTTAGACTGTGCAGATAGTAATTAACAAGTTGGAAATTGGCATTCATATCTTGTTGTCATGGCTATTTGAGTTTCTTGGACTGCAAACGAAATGTGAGGAAGAAGAGTATGATTCGAGTAAAACTATATCTATCTAATTGCTTCCTATGTTTAAAGTGTTTTTTCTTTTAATTTCCTAAGTTAATACGTACGTTTTATCAAATTTCTAGCTTTTAGATATATTTTAAAGAATAATGCTCATGTCCCTCCACAAGGGGACTTACTTGTCCCCTCATTTACAATTGAAAATTAGTGTGTTAAATTGGGGTTGTCAATGTTAAAAGGGCTAGCTAGGTTTTCAAAGTAGCAAGTCTCCACTTGTTTGAATCATCAACTCTTTGACAATTGACATGCTTGCATGCATGGTAAACTTGTAACCCTAATCCTTTTGAGTGCATTCATCAATCTAGCATACCGGTCGTCTTGATCCGGACACTGAACTCGAATCATGGCTTCTGATGAACTATAATCTTCTCATCCACTTCCATACCACCCACCACCACCACCAGCCGCCGCTCTTTTACTATTACAACTTGAATACGTATCCATCGCGAAAACATTGACCCACATGATGCTCTACTGTTGTTGAAGGGATGAAGGACTTGAAAGAAGCAGCTCAACATTATGGTCTTGTACTCTTCATTCCAACAGGAAGTAAATGCTGTAAATGTCCAATTCCATTTGTTCTAACAATTACATTATGCACCGGGAGATCCCATATATGACGTAAAATCCTAACGCAATAAAATCCACCACCTTATAATAAAACCAAGGATCGCCAAAACAAAAGCCTTACGTCATGCTTAAAGCTGAAAATTGATAACTTGTTTCGGTTGGCTTCCTTGTTTCCCAAGCGCGTTGTCGAGTGCAGCACTGAATTTGTCAAAAGGAACCAGCTCCATTCTACAAACAGGGAAAACCTCTAAATGTTAAAAATACAGCAACTAAAATTTGAAAAATTGGAGGAAGAAAAGAAGCCGCAAGTGTATAGAGGACAAAAGAGAACTTACTCGTATTTTAACTTCCCTTCCCGTGCTAGGTCGAGGAGGTGATCTATCAAAACTCTACACTCAAATGCCTTTTCTGTACTCATCCATTTCTGCAACCAGAATCCCCTCAAGGAAAGATCCTACACACGGAGATATATGAGACACAGTACACAAGCAGAATGAAATTATCACAAACAGATACATTAATCTGTGGAACTAATGAGAAATTTCTCTACTAACAGGAACTGGTCGGTGTACAAAATTGTGTCCTTGAAGACTATGAAATCCAAAGGCGCGCCAACCAACATGACAACCCACCATGCCCCAACAGATAATTCCTATTTCTCCCTTCATCTCCGCGGCTACGCTACGTGAAGAGCTAACCTAATCTAGGTTTTAAATGCCAGAAAGGATTTCCGTAACTATACAACTTTAAATTTCTAACCAAATTGACCTCCTAGGGTTGTAAAACTAACACTCAAGAAAACTTGCTAGAATAGTTCAAGACTAGACATACCATAAATGCATATATAATGACACCGGGTCTACTCAATCCTTTTTTCGGAACGTGCAACCTTCATTCTTTTGACCTCTATTGGTATCAGCCATATCTAACTGCTTTTCTTCTTTGTAGGATTCAGATTTTCCTATGTGCTTTTGTTATTGTTCCCTTTCCTATTTCATGGTTTCCCCACGTCCTTTTATTTCTAATCTAGCATCCCTTCTCATTTCCACATGTTTGCCTTCACTCCCTGTCGCACCCACACTAACTCGCAGTTCTCAGTGGAGAAATAAAAAATTGAGGTTTCTGTGTGCAATATACTTTCATCTAAAAAGTAAAGCCAAAAAAATAGAATTGACATACCTTAAAAATAAAAGATGAAGTTGATACAGTAATAGGTTTCTTAGACATTCCACCATATGTTACCATAGTTCCACCACGCCTAAAACAGAAATACATTAGATTTAGAAAAGGATGTCAAATTCTAATACCACTAAAAATGTTGCACTGTTCAAAGCATACAGTAGGGCATATCATACCCCAAAAACTTAAGAACCAGAGAAGCAGCATTGCCTCCAACACAGTTGAATCCCAATGAAGGTTCAGGTATACCACCCTGGTATATAATCAGATTAAACGCCAACAGATTAGTGAAACAACTAAGTGGAGGAAGAACCGAACTACAATATACAAACTAATTAACCAATTCCAGAACTTGCAGAAGACACTTGAGAATATCAACTATAACAAGGAAATAAAGATAATACCAGAAGACCCTTGACATTCTTAACTTCCAGCTGACTCTCTGTAAACATTTCATCAGCACCAAGGTTTTTGAGTTTTTCTTTTACTTCATCGGATCCAGCCCTGTAGAAAGCATACAATGGTAAAACCAAGGTAAGATTCTTTTGAGAGAAAAAAAAAAAGTATTTTTCTGGATGCAGAAATCAAAGAAATATACTGCTATCAGAAAACTGTAATTTTCTTATAAACCACTCTTTCGTATTAGCACCTGTCCCTTATTATGTTAATGTTATGGATACCACGATGCTGTGCAAGCTGAATAATGCACTGCCCCACGATGCTTGTAGCTCCATTTTGAACAATAGCATCTCCTATTCAAACCAAATTAGTCAGTGATAAGACGATTAAGAAACCAGCGTAGAAATTACAGATGTTGCTATACCTTTCTTTAAAGTGGTGAATTCTTCTAGCATTCTTAGAGCAGTCAAAGGATTAACCGTAACAGTGGCAGCATATTCCAAGGGTGAATCTTTATTGATCTTATGCCATACACTCTGATCTTTCACAATATAAGTCTGCCATGTCCCTAAGCAAACAATTATCCAAATGCATTCAAATATTTTGTTTGCATCACTGTAAATGTAATGAAACGTGATCTTGAAATGAAGAATTTACCGAAAGAAGGCGGAGATGGGATGACCAAATCGCCAGGCGAGAGACCTTTAACCGCAGACCCGACTGATTGTACCTCTCCTACGCCTTCATATCCTCCAACTGCTGGAACTTGTGGCCTCACAGGGTACACCCCTTTTCATGGTTCAATTCAAGAAAGACCCACTAGTAAGCAACAAATAGTAAATTCAATAAAAATATCGTCAAAACATGATCTTAAAATATTTTGCAACTTTGTTTACTCATGTTAATTTTTGTTTTGAATTTTTCAAAACAAGCTAATAATAGAGGGAAAGAAGTCAGGTGTTGTCCTATTAGACTTGTTATATTAGAAGTGAACGACACGATTGATATGTCACGCTTCTAAGATGTATTATAAGAAAACAAATTTACGTATTGTAATTAGGGTTCACTTCATGGGCGTGTTCCGGATACATCGAAAAATTGCTCCTAAAAATAAAGCAAAAAATCGGAGCTCATGTTAAAAGTAATAAATTTACCTCCATTTTCTGAGCAACCAAACAGATAATAAACAAAAATGAGAGACTGAACCCAGAAAATAAAAAGAGAAATAAACCTTCAATTCGATTAATATCAGAAGGGTTGATAGGAGCAGCCAACATTTTCACACACACATCGTTCTCCTTCACTTCAACCGGCGGTAATTCTATCACTCTTCCAACCAAAAAGCCCCCACTAATTTAAAAATTAAGAATTTAAAATAAAAATGAGTAATAAAAGAGGTGAAATTGTGAGAGAAAGTTAAACCTGGTGACCCTGTCGGGAGGACCGTGTTGCTCGTATACCACCGCCTTAGACGGCGGCGATAAGGTCGTGGAGAAAGCCCGCACGCTCAGGGTTTGGGACCGGCGGAGGACGGCGTCATTTAGGGTGACATTGCAAAGTGGTTTCAGTGCTCTGAGAGTAGCTGATCGAACCAGAGACGCCATTTTTCAATCTCGAGACCGTTCTCTGAGCTCCAACCCAGGGAGCTTCGAGAAGCTTAAGGGAGCTATGGGCATAAGTCAATCGTGGCCGTTGGTTGAAACCGACGCCCGAGATTAACTTAAAACTCAAACCGGGTCTAGACCTCAAATTACCCGGTTAAGATATTTGACCCGTTTTACCCCTCCTCCACGGAACATGTGTTTACATCAAATTTTGGATCCTCTTTCATCCATTGTTAATATCTGATTTACTTGGCTTATAAGAAATTCAAGAGGTACATAATTTTTCTCTGCTTGAAGGTGTTCCTCTTTCACTACCGAAGTTCCGAACTTTGACATGAAACTCCTCTGATATGTATATATATAGTAGAAAATTCCCATAATTAACATATAAGATAAAACATTTCCAAGTAAATATCGATCAGTCTTTATTTTGCACAGGCATTCAAATCATGTTGAGAATAGCTGCTATTCAACACCCATTGTAGGTTAGCTCAAAAGTTAAGCTTAGAGCAGTTAATTGGAATCAAATTGCTAAAAAGACATTTCTCTCCCTTTGGGAGACTTTTTCTCTGCTTGAAGGTGTTCCTCACCGTTTGCGTGAGTGATTACAATTTTCTTCAATTCCGGTGGCGTCGACCCTGGTTTCGGCCAGGGTCAGTAGTCATTCTCTCTTCTCTCTTTGCCGCTTTTTTTCCTCCCTTATGTTATTTCCCCTATTCTCCATCTGATTTGCCCTCTTCTTACCCCACATGCGTCCCTTTTCCTTGTTCATCCAAGCTCCAATATGCAGTCACAATTCCCCACTATTTGTTGCAGTCTGTCGAGATGGTGCGTAGAGCTCTGGTGCTTACACCGGCTCGAGTGTTCCCAACACCGCCACCTTCTCTCTATCTACCTTTACTGATAGTGTTGCTTACGGAATCCAATGGGCTTCTTTCACTTGGTCGCTAGCTCTTTTTCACTTTATGGTTGTGCTCGAAGAGGTGCTCGAGGTTGGATGTTGCGATCGGCGAGGTCCGATTAGGGGTGCGGAGTTGTACAGGTCAAGATGCACTGTTGCGATGGCGGTTGCAGCAGAATTCTCAGTTTTCTTTAGCTTTGTTTATGTTTTGGGCCCCAACTGTTGGTTAGGCTCGTTTGGTTGGGCCTTTTTTGCTTGTTTGTGTTTTTCCGTCTTTGGGCCTTTAGTTTGTAGATTTGTAGTTGCCAATGGGTTTTACCTTTGTTCCAAAAAAAAAAAAAAAGCGCAGTTAATTGAGACAAAAAAAATTAGAGCAGTTTTCTTTTTGGTAAACTGGACATGAAATTCCGGGGCAAAGCCGAAGTACAAAGAGAGAAGCAAACAAACAAACAAACTAAACAACCGATGGTCCAAATATAAGAGTACCAAGATCAGTAAAATGGACCATCCAAACAAGTCGAAACAAAGCCCAACCAACCGTGTGGGCCCAAAACAAAAAAAACAAAAGAAAGCCGAGAAGTCGACAACATCCACCGCCGCAACAGTAGTTCCAAAATTCGCCCAAGTCCATGCCTCCGACCACACGTCAACTCTTTGATCAGAACATCCAAGTCCAAGCACCACCTAGTGCGCATCCACAATCGTAGAAAACAAGCAACCGGAAAAAGAATTCCAGCTACCAGAAGAAAAAAACCTGTGAGAAGCCATGAGCAACACCGCCAACAAAGGCAAACAGAGAAAGGTTTATGGTGTTGGGAACACCCGAGCCTGTGCAAGCACCGAAGCTCTACACACCATCTCAGGAGAACAAGATGATGGCAGATTGGAGCATGGATGAAGGAGGAGGGACGCCAGTAGGAGAAGTAGAAAAGGACAAAACGAAAAAGAGAGCAGGGGTAAAACGCTGCCGAAGGAAGGAACGGAAGGAGACAAAGAAAGGAAAGGAAGATCGGCTAACCAACCCCAGCCGAAACTAGGGTTGGCGCCCCCAGATTTGCACAAAATTGAAACCCTCAAAAAAAACCACTGAGAAAACCCTCACGTAGAGAGAAAGGCTCTCACAAAGGAGAGAAGAGTTTTCAAGAAATTTTTATATTATTAAAAAAAATTAGAGCAGTTAAACAATTTTTTTCATAGTAAAACATTGTTTTGACAGTGTTTAGGTGGAAAAAACATCCGATCACCGACATTTCAATTTTTCCAAATTAACCATTGCACCTTATTCAATTTCCCACCTAACAGGCAGATTAGTTCTGTCTTTGGATTATATCATGATTTCAGGAAGTCTGTCTTTGGATTACTTGAGCAATGAGTCAAGAAAGGAAAGAATATACTCCTGCAGGCTGCAAAGCAGTAATGATTAATGAGAGGACACCCAAACCAAAATTAGAATGTGATAAACGAGTGGTAACCGTACAAAATACGACACTGGATCATGTTCATCAATTATTGCTTAACTTTGAACAATATATTTTGGATGTACTATCTACACACTTCTTTTTATTTTTCACATATTTTTTTTCAATTTTTAGCTTTCAGATCGAATAAATTAAAAAAAATCAAATCACAGAAATTAACAAAAAGTATATGAATAGCACACCCCTATATTTTCTCTTCCGGCATGCCACAAACCATTATAAATGGTCAGTGGCTGATTCAATTAGTATCCAATGGAAATAAGGAGTAGGTAACCACTATGAGATGATTTAGTGGTTTTGGATTACTAGCGTCGATGAATCGTACGATGATGGTAAGAGGAAACTGAAATGTCTCTGTAAATCTTTTTTATCTCTAAAAAAATGAACTTCCGTGACAATACCACCAACTGATTTATTTATTTATTTTTAAGAAAATAAATAGGGAGTAGGTAGTGCAATCTCCAATTAAAAGTTTTTTTAATTTGTTTTTAGATTAGATAGAAATTAAAAAGGTTTTTTAGTAGCTATACGTGGATGGCGGAGCTTTTCTCTACTGAAGCACAGATCCATGCACGAGATGACTGCCCATTAACTGTCGGCTTAATGCTCTACTAATGTAGTATATTTGTGTTTAGATAACTTACTCTATAATCTATCTGACTACTCCAAATTATTAGGGTGCGTAATATCTTAGTTCATGACACGTGTGGTATAAAAATATATATATGAAATCATCATTTTGGATTCCTCTATTGTTTTATAACAAGATGTTGGAATGAGACGTGTGTAGAACGATTATTCTAAAGTATCTGCGACATTTCTTTAATTAAGACTGTTTATAACTTAGAACTTGACTAAGTGAGATTTCGTATTAGTCTAAACCAATCTCAAAATTGTTTTGGTATACAATAATCACTAGAACTGAACATGTGGTGCATAGAGCTTTGACACTTAACAAACTGAGTGACATGCATTCGGTTAAGATGCATATGTGTTAAAAGATAGATCTAACTTAAAAATTTTAATGTGGACATTAATGACAATGTTTTTTATTTTTTTATTTTATTCTCAAAACCTGTTTAGCTCAGATAAACTACAATATTCTATATTTCTAAGTGTATTATTTGTGCTTTTTTTGTTGTTTAAAAACAGGGGAATAGCTGGTGGCTTTATCACAACACTATCATTTCAGATGTCGAAAACACTCACAAAAACATTTAAATCTCTCTCTAACCATCATTGTGATTCATCAGTGTTAGGTATCGAACTTAAAATGTGTTGTAAAAAAAATTAAAAAAAAATAAAAAATAAAATAAAGAGTAGTATTTGAGACGGTAAATCACCACGCACTAACGCCAATTATTGTGGTTAATCTTGTTCTTCCATGTGTTGAAATTTCTGTTCGTGTGTCCACTGCATGAACAGTTGAATTTCATTAACCAATCATAAAATCATTGTAAAACTGTTTCTTCCATTGTTGTGCATCGACCATGAGTGCAACCTGATAAGAGTCTCCAACACGTCCGTGCTCGACAAAGGATTTGCTCCTTTCATCTTCCATGCAATTCTTTTGGACTGTAGACCGTTGACTTTTAATTCTTCTTGTTCCCTTCTTTCTTCCTATTATGTTGAGGTATTATTTTATAGAAGGATAATCTAAGGAGATTAAAATTTTAAACTAAATTTGCAAACTAAATAATATGTCACAAATAGAAAATAAGTGACATACCCCGACCGAAGTCGAGACGTGCTGGCCATTACGTGAGGGTAACGTAGCCCAATGCGCAACAGAAATGATGGTAATAATAAGAAAATGCAACTAAGTAAAAACCAAAACTAAACTTACTTAAACTAGAGATAATATGTAAGTGCGTGAAAGTGATCAAGTATAAGATACACACATATTAGAGCATAGGTAAACGAAAGTGCAGTCGAACTAACTAAGTGTTAATTGTACAAATTGGGAGAACATCCCTACAGTTATTTAGAAGATCGTCAGAACCGCCGAGAAGTCCTCGTGAACCACCAAGATGTACAGCTACCTAGGACCTAGAGGGGTGCAAAATAGAAGGGTGCGTGGGAAAAAACAAAACGTTTGAAAACACATTTATCTTTTCTAAACATAATAACCCCTCATTGTAAAACATGTATAGTTCCAGATACTACGTATATACATACGAATATCAATGCACAAGGCTAGTAAAACTGAAGTATGCCATGCCATAACGTTTATGCATTAAAAGATGTAAGCCAGGTGAAATCAATATAAAATAATATATCAGTCGGAGTCACCTAATGTGACCTGTACGACTGGACCTATAGCTCATCAATATATGCTAGCACACGAGTCGGAACCACCTATTGTGGTCTGTATGATAGTGCTTGGTGTAAATATGTACGCTCAAGTACTACGATCACGTGAAGGCTGTGCGAATAATCGTGGGTCACCTACGAGTCGAAACCACCTATTGTGGTCTGTACGACAGGGCTGTCACCAAACTTGGATCCAAGGTGAGCGTGCGGTGCGGGAGGTGAACATCACGTGAATGACTGTGTCCTAGCCTCGGGCGGGAGCACTAACATCGGGGTGCAGCAATGATGAGCTCTAAATGCATTTATGCATAACAATATGCCATGCAACCAATACCATCACAATATACTCACTTGAGCCTTCGCAGCATCAAACGATATAGTTCACAATTTATAATAATGCAATACAT